TAGCGGTGCCTAACAATAACAATCAAATAAGCGAACTTTAGCATTTGTGACTTCTATTGATAAATAACTTTTAGAAGCTTACCACGGAATCAGTCCGAAAGAGTGCATGTTCTCGGATCGCGAAGATATGTCATCGCCAGATGCCAAACATTTAACGTTCGTTCAGAGCAGGTATCAATCAGTTCCACTATTCTGATCACAAAGTACACAGCACAGATTTATACTAGACATTAAATATCGATACCATCTGATTAATCAAGTTTGACGAGCTGGCGATAATATGAGTGAAATATGGTGCGATATGTATATTCAGACTGAGGCTTAGGCCAGTTCCGCGGATCGATCTATTTGTTCAATGGATACCTTACCTGGGCATGGCAGAGCAATCTGCTTTTCGAAAAGATGGCTCAGCCCAGATATAAACCTCACCCTAAATTTATGCCTGAATGTAATCCATCGTCGTATCTTACCATGTTCTTGCCAATCGTCATAGCTAAGAATTGTCATTTCAAGGAGTACACCAAAACTTAACGTCAGCTGATCAAAACATCCAAAAATTCCGATCATGAAACTATTGGAATCATTTTTCTCAGTATCATGTGTAACCAATTCTGTTGTTTCAGTTGCCCTGTCGATGAGATTAGCGAGATAATCGACCCGCTGGCTAATGTCAACGAGGAAGTTTACTTTTCCAAATTCAAAACGTTCCGGTTTGGAAATCAATCGACCGTCTTCGCACACTGTACCGTTCAAGTGTGCTTGAACAGTGCTGAATGTGAACAAGTGAGTGCGATCATATCAGAAAGTGAAATGTGCGAATGATAAAAAAAAATCAGAAGTAATGAAATTTTGCGAACGATCTCAAGAAAAACTAAAATCGAAGCAATTGACCATCCGTAAAATGTTTCAGAATTGTTTCAAACGCATTTCAAATTCCAATTTAACGGCCGAGAAACTGCGTTTCCGATACAAACGTGACACCACGGATCTGGGCAATTACGATAAGGCGGATCTGATCAGCCAAGTGGAATTAACACGACCGTTGACAATTCTCGATGAAACCGAGACCAATCAAGGTTTCTTTTAGAAGTGCCCGGAATTCCTCGAATATCCGTTAATTCTCCGTATTTTTTCGCGAATGGATGAAAATTTCTGAGCCTTTTATCCAAAAAAAAAACTTTATCGTTTGTGAACACAGAATTCCTATGGGTAAAAGCGAAGAATCGCGCGCTCTCTCGATGAAATGTTCAACGGAGATCAATCGTAGATAATTGATGAACTCTAAGCTGCTTTCAGTTGAGGGTCGCGCAGTGGAGCAGTGCTTAATTCAGCCAGCTTCAATGCCATTACCGATCTTCTTCGTCATACTCGTTCTCGTGACGATGCTTCTGCTTTCGTTGTCAGTTATTTACGCTCTCAAGAGGAAACTTTCTATCAACAAGAAGGTTGAAATGTATCCATATGGATTGCACAGGTTCATTGCAGCTTATCTTTGGTTTTGATTTTCATTCGGAGAATTCAGCTGACTTCATAAGACAGTGGTTCTCACGTTCAGGTGCTCCATTACCCATTTTTGTGATCTGGCAGGCCGCGGTTATCCGCCCCCGTTTATTTCCCCCATGACATTACCCAAAACGGGTAATTTCACTCATTATGAAATCCGCTATCCTAGACTGTTGTGTTGCTCATTATTGCGGTCGATTATGATTGCATGAAATGCTATTGTCTGTGGCATGCTCACTTCATTGCAAAAGATGGATTCTCATTCCTTTCAGACGTGTCCTATTCACTCTCATAGCTGTTGCATGTGAATACCGTTCTCTTGATGAGTTTTTCTCATTCACTTCGTCTCATTTTACTTCACAGTTCAAATTAGTTTCTTATTCTGTAGCATATACTATTTACTGGATACGTTGACGAGTGTTGACAACCGAAATCAACAATACAGCAATTGTTCGACAGTTTAATAATCAATAAAATAGTGTATTTAATGGAATGAGAATTTGATTTTAACTGTTGAGTGAAATGAATGAGAAATTAGCAGAAGAGAACACTTTTGGTGATAAAAGCTATGAGAGTGATTATAGTAGCAAGGTAAAGAATGAAAACCCTGTTAAAACGAATGAAAATCTTGTTTTGAGAATACTAGGTTAGAGGAGCTCAATAATTCAATTAGGAGTATTAATGAAATGATGTAGGTGATTTTTTCAAGAATTTTATATCTATCGACATTTTTAATTGATCGAGTGGTCATTTCAGTGCATATTCGACCTCTACATCCACAATACCTTCGCGCGTTCTAGCCGGTGGTACATACGCACTTCCGAACGCAGTGCATCGACCGAATTGGGTGAATGCAATGACATCAGGCTACGATTATCCATGAACCACTTTCAACGACTGTCCGGGCATTTCGAAACGTAGCCTCAGCAGCATTTTTTGGTATTCAAATGATTTTTGTCGCAATCATCATCTAATGAATTTTTTTTCTTGTCATATCATTCTCACAGTTACGTTTATTTATTTATTGTTTCGTTGATATTCCCCAAAACAATTCTTTCAATCAATCTACCGTAATCCGTCGTATATTGTACTGTATTGCCTGTGCTTTTGTTACATACATCACTTAATTATTATTCTATTATTTCGTTAATTGCTGTCTTGTTAATACAGTGTTGTTGTGCCAAATATTGAAATCCGATCAAATTTCTTCAGTACAGTCGAGTCTGCTGCTCTCGTGATAATCGATCATTTCACTTCCTTATGTAGGGTCGTTTCTGATTTCTTCAAACGAAACACACGCAACAACTGTTTTGTATTGTTTTCTTCCTGAATAAACTGTTCTATTCTGGCTAATTTCATACCAAAGACAATTCACCAATGGAATCAATTGCCTCACAAAGAAGATTTCACGGGAACAAGTACATATATTCACATAAATTTCCACATGTCCGCAAGTATCGACACAAGACGCTGTTAAACAGTATCAAATCAATTGGTTCATTAAATGGCATGTCATCATATCTTTGATAAATGAATTTTTCGAATGCCAAATTTGATCAGTTGTTGTGGCTGCGTCGTCCTCACAATCAGTTGATTCGTCGACCCGTTGAGGTGGCTTCTACGAATTTGTCTGTTGGTTTCTGAGTATCAGCATTTTCGCAATCGTTTTGGTGTTGCATTGAATAGTGTCTGCTGAAAATAGATTATTGCTCGCTAATGGTAGAATTTTATTGCTCACGAAGTCTGGTTGAAATTGGTCTCACGGCTTCACCGTCTCATTATAGCTGCCGACTCGTAAAAATTGATTGNTATTGAAAGTGAGAAAATTTCAAGTGAAAAAATTAATCGTTCGCAATTTGAGTGGTTTCAACTGTGTCAAAAAAATAGCAGATGAGAAAATTGCCCAGGTGAAAGAAAATGTCTTCTCACGAAATGCATTTGCGTGGCGTCCGCTTTCGAGAAATTCATCATTGAGTTGAGCGTTTTCTGCGAACGTTTCTGGACGCGTTTTTGTGTGTAGCTGAGCATCAGAGGCAAA